CCTGCTCCCCTTCCAAACTCCCTTGCGAAACTCCCTGTTAGCAGCCCCTGGTCGCAAAGCTCCCTGGTCGCTTGTGCGCTGCTTTATAAAGCCCTGGCCTGTATGACTTGTCAAGGTCTTTCTATAATGGTGACTCAAGACTTTTGTGAAGCCACTTCTGGGAGAGGCTTTGCAGAGGTCAGTGAGCACCAATCAATTGCTGAGGATGAAATTCACCTCTGTGCAGAGGGGCTGCAAGAGGGCTGTGAACCACACAAGTCCCACTTTGAGGGCTTACACAGGGAGCAAGTAGTGAGTAGGCCTTGACTTGGTTCTTTCCATAAGGGAAAATTTCTCCCATGAGAATAGATCGTGCCCTGAACAAGAAGTGTGTGGAAGGGGAAGAGCTCCAGATGTGTAGCATCCGCCCTCCTACCAAACCCTCCACATTCCCAGTGAGGTGTGTAGCTGGGGGGCTACCGCTACTGTCCCTGTTGTCATGCTTGGAAATGCCCATGTGGAATGGGCATGTAAAACAATGATCGTGTCAGCATTACGTTAATTCTTCCACCAGCTGTGTGAAACCTCTCTGGGGTTGAAGGCAAGCAGAGAGCCCATCGGATGTTGCTATGCAGGCTGGGGTGGGTGAGGTGACCAGTGGGAAGCTGTGGAAAGGTCCAGGGCATCTGTGAGGACCCCAAGACCCATGAGCTTAGATAGTCAAACTGTTTTACACAGTATACATGATCCCTGTACTATACCATGCATGGGAATGTGCAGATTCCTGCTCACTGTGTGGAAACTTTCCGTGTAGGGGCTGATCTGGTCTCACCTATTCTCTACCTATGGCACATAATAATTTAGTCTCCTGTAATATTTTGGTCTAATTTCAGTTGCTAGGGTTAGCATGTGGGTGCTGGGTAGTGTTGATGGGCTGCGATAGACAGGAAGTCAAACTGCATGTTCTGGTAGACCCTTGTGGCATTAAATTCTATGACTCTGTTGCCCAGTGTTCGGGTAGTTTGTCATCAGGATCTCACCTTCCCCCCTGCCCTCCTCAGGCAGTCTCTGCTCATTCTTACTCCCATCTCTTTTACTCTAGGTTGGCATGATGTATGTATTTAACTCAATGTTCGGAATTGGAATCTTAGCCCTGCCCAAAGCCTTTGCTGATGCAGGCTGGCTGGCCAGCAGTGTTATCTTGGCACTTGCCATGGTGATGAGGTAAAGTATAGAGAAACACCTTTTTACATGGTCTCTCCTTCCTATCCTAGGGTTTAGTTGGGACCCAGGCTTACTTTGCGACTCTTCTAACTTTGCTGTGTAACATGAAATGGTGTCTGATAAAATGTATATGAACAGTTCTGTAATTGTGAGATTCCTTTCTCAGGTTGTAAGCTCTTTGGAGCGGGGACCATTATCTCTTCTGTGTTTGTACAGCACCTAGCACAGCCAGGCCTGATCCTGATTGGGGCTTTTGGTCACTATTGTAATAGAAATATTAAATTAGAATGATCTTTTTCTACTTAGAGTTTCTTAGGTAAAGCATGGCCTCAGATACTGCATAGACACTGTGTGTGTGCGTGAGACAGGGTCAGGCCAGATGGCTACAGGAGAGTGATAGAAAGCAGATATATTAGCCCTAGGTTAAGTAGGTCCCCTTTCCCTGGGTAAGGTAACAGGGAAGGTTCCAGAACAATCAGGAACTTTCTGGAAACAATTAAAGGAGAAGGCTGATTAGAACACCTGCATCCAATCAAGAAGCTGCTAGAATCAATTAAGGCAGGCTAATCAGGGCACCTGGGTTTAAAAGGAGCTCACTTCAGTTTGTGGTGTGCGTGCGAGGAGCTGGGAGCAAGAGGCGCAAGGAGCTGAGAGTGAGAGGGTGTGTTGCTGGAGGACTGAGGAGTACAAGTGTTATCAGACACCAGGAGGAAGGTCCTGTGGTGAGGATAAAGAAGGTGTTTGGAGGAGGCCAATGGGAAGTAGCCTAGGGAGTTGTAGCGGTCATGCAGCTGTTACACCAAATCCACCAATAAGCGCAGGATTCACCAAGGTAGAGGAGGAACTTTGTCACATTAGATATGTAGACATTGCATAGATGCATACTCACATGCAGTGCTATGTTTGCACATGCAGACCGGGTTCTGCTGTGTCTGTCTCCCTGAACTGCATTCTCAAGTGCTTATTTGGGTGCCTGGGCAAAGTGTGTTTGTGAGGCTGTTTTGAGATTGTTCTGGTCATGTGGTGTTAAGCGTTCACTTATCCAGTTTAAAATTACTCTAGGGAAGGAAAATGGAAAGACTTCCAAGATTAAAATACCTGCACAGGCACATAGATTTGACAAGGTAGCATCTGGTCTTTGCACTGTCATATGAAGAATGGGACAAAATCCTGAGTCCCGAGACTATAGGCCAGGGGTGGGCATGCTTTTTGGCCCGAGGGCCGCATCTGGGAATAGAAATTGTATGGCGGGCCATGAATGCTCACAAAATTGGGGTTGGGGTGCGGGAGGGGATGAGGGCTCTGGTTGGGGGTGCAGACTCCAGGATGGGGCCAGAAAAGAGAAGTTCACGGTGTGGGAGGGGGCTCTGGGTTCGTGTGGGGGAGGTGGGAGGGTGAGGGCTCCGGGCTCTGGGGTGGGGCTGGGGATGAGGAGCAGGGGCTTGGGGCATGGGGAGAGGCTCAGGGGTGCAGGCTCCAGGCAGCACTTACCTCAAGTGGATCCCAGAAGCAGCGGCATGTCCCTTCGCCAGCTCCTAAGCGAGGCGCAGCCCCTGCAGCTCCCATTGGCTGTGGTTCCCAGCTGCAGGGGCGGCACTTGGGGTGGGGGCAGCGGAAGCCCCTGGCTGCCCCTACACATAGGAGCCAGAGGGGGGGCCATGCCATTGCTTCCGGGAGCCACATGGCACAGCACCCAATCCTGCTCCCCGGCTGGAGTGCCGGAGGGGGCCGTGCCGCTGCTTCTGGGAGTTGTGTGGAGTGGCCCTCAACCTTGCTTCCTGGCTGGAGCACTGGAGTGGGACAAGCCCCAGATCCTCCTCCCCAGTAGGAATTGAGGGCTGGATTAAGATGGCTGATGGGCCAGATGTGGCCCACGGGCCGTAGTTTGCCCACCCCTGCTATAGACTGAACAAAGCTATTGGCAAAGGACCTGCTCTGATTGCCCATCTTGTGTAGCAGTGTTGCTGTCCCTTCAGAATGCTGAAGTACAAGATTATTATTACTAGTGCTGTTTATCTGCCAGCGCCCCCTGGTGGTAAGCAGTGTGCAAACCTAGAACTGAGTTCATATGTTTATAAACTTATTACAAAGAGCTTCCAATCTCTCTAAGGTAGATATACTGTCATATCTGAGTGCCTCACGGTCTTTAATGTATTTATCCTCACAACACCCTTGGAAGGCAGGGCTGTTATCCCCATTTTACAGAAGGGAAAGCAAGGCACAGCGTCTAAGTGACTTGCCCAAGGTCACACAGGATGTCTGTGGCATGGCAGGAAAATGAACCAAGGTTTCCTGCATCCCAGGCTAGGACCCTGACCACTGGGCAATTCTTCCTTTCTTAGGTAACAACAGTATCTTTTTAACAGGACTATTACCAGCACTATAATGGTGGAAGGGCATTTATTACAGAAAGATGGTGTCTGTTCCATCAATTGTTTTCCAGCTGTTATCTCAGAGATGGCTTGGGTTTTTTAATGGGAGAGGAGGACTAGGAGTGTCAAGCCACTGGCTTTGTAAATAAGCCAAGCTGTAAAAATAAAATTGAAAGGAATACTATGCTTTTGGCCATGGCCAGAGTTTTTTGTTCGGGCTTCTAGGCTTTATTTGTAAAGCTCATGGTAGGATCCTTCTGATCTCCGAGTAAATTTTGCATAAACATAATTAGCGTCATAGTCATCTTGTCATGTGTTCTAAGCAGCATGTGTCGTGGAAGAACAAGAACTGTTCTTTTCAAACTTTAGACAAAAATAGATGGAGATTGACACTGGATCTCAGATCTGAGGCTTAGGTAGGAATTTCTGGTCCTCTCAGTGTTTTTTTTTTAAAAAAAAATCCTTAAACCCTACTGCCATCTAGAGGTGCAAATGGGAGAAAACAGACCCACATACTGCAAAAGCCCAACAGCTTCAGAAGTTGTGAGGCTAATTTCCAGAGGTGTTTAAGTGTGTGTGACTGAGTGCAGTTCAGGAAGTGTGTATTCACTCATCCCATTCCAGATCATACGATAGTATTCAGGCTACAAGAACGGAACAACATTTTCTGTTCTTACAATATTTTATTCTGAGGAGGATTCAGTTTCTGGCTTTGCCACTGACTTGCTGTGTGATCATGAGCAAGTCACTTTCCCTCTTCTGTGCCTTCCTTACTCCACCCACCCTCTGTCTTGTCTATTTAGAGCACAAACTCTTTGGGTTATGAGTAGTCTCTTGCTTTGTGTGTCTACAGCACCTAGCACAACGAGGCCCTGAATCTCATTTGGGCCTTTAGACGCAATTGTAATGGAAATGAAAGAACTATGAGGCTTGACATATCTTGTGCGATCTACTAGTTGAGACCATTGGAAATGACGGGTTCAGCCACAGGCTATGGTCTGTGCATACAGCAAGTATGAGTCACAGCACCCTGTGAGTCTGCATAAATAGACGCAAAATGGCTGCTCAGCAGCAACAGGGACATGCCCACATGCCTTACTGTACAAAACATGCTTTGCTCTGCACACATGCTGCATAGGCCTTTCTCCAGTGATCCTTATTACAAACATGGGCTCAAAAGAAAAACTTAGACTAGACATGAGATAAAGCCAGAAACTCCAGTCTGATCCCATTTGAGTTTCAAGGGGTATAGTTGGGGAAAAGGAAAGGCAGTTTGAGGTAAAAATCCCTGGGTTCTAACCTGCCGTAATGGGTTTGGTTCCAAATCAGGGCTATAAGAGGAAGAGGGCCTCTTTTCTATTTCCAGTTCAGATTCAGCTGACATTTAAAAAATAAAAAAAAAGACTGAAGGGATTTGAGGGGGTCAAATCCAAATGATGGGCCTGTTTCTCCTCTCATTTACACTCGACTAAAATCAAGATTAACTCCACTGAAAACAATGGAGTTGCACTGAGAAGAATGAGGTCCTTAAAATCAGTGGCGTAGCCAGGTTCAAAGTGCAGGGGGAGCAAACATAAAAAAGGTGCCCCCCCCCTTGGCTCCTCCTCTGGTCATGCCCCCCTTGGCTCTTCCTCCGGCTGCTCCACGCCCCTCCCCCCCCCGCTGGCTCCTCCGGCCACGCTGCGTCCCCCCTTGCTTCCTCCAGCCACGCTGTGGCCTGGCTGTGCCCCCCTCGGAGGGGCTCGGTCCAGGGGGTGGGGACTGGGTGCGGCCTGGCTGAGCAAGTTTTTAGGGTGCGGTTGGGGGGGGGAGAGAAGAGGCGAGAAAGTTTCACGCGTCCCTGGGCGGGACTCACCAGCTGCCAAGCGACCTCGGAGGAAGCCATGACACCGCGCCTAGCGGCCACCATGGACAGGGAGGGGAGAGGCACGCGGGAAGCTCCAGGTGGGCTGGAGTCTCGGACGTGACGTGAGCGGGAAGTGGACGGTCGGTCCCTGACCACCCCCTCCCAGACACCCTGCTCATTGGGTCTGCGCTTACCTGGCTGCCCAGGTGCTTCTGATGAGTGACCTCCTCCTCCCCCACAGCGCCAGGACGCCCAGCTCCTGCTGGTTCCCGCTGAGTCCGGCACGACCTAGGAGCCAGCTCCCCACGGGGAACGGAGACCAAGCAGCCGGTACATCCCCCTGTGGGCGGCACTGCTCAGGGGGGCACTTTGCACCCCACCACCCGGAGAGCTGGAGCAACAGCAGCACCTGTGCCCAGGCAGCAGCAGCGCCTCCTCCCGTCCCTCACTTTCTTCTCCCTCGCTCCGAGCCAGGCGCCCCGCTGCAGTCCCTCCACGCCGCGAAGCTGCTGGCGCTCTGCCTAGTGTCGGAATGTCTTGAGCTACCGCCAAGGCAGCTTCCCCCCTCCCGCCGCCGCGCCACGCAAGGACCCAGAGCTCTGGCAGCTCCCAGACACCCTGCTCATTGGCTCGCCCGCCACTGACCTCACTGGAACTGCTTACGCCCACCGCCGGCCTCGCCTAGGGATTCTTTAGTATAGGGACGCCTGCTGGCGCCATGGTAACCCCTAACTAAGGCGCCACTTTTGAAAAATGTGCTGAGGGGAAGCGGCTGCTTTCCCTGCACCCCCCCCAGCTACACTACTGCTTAAAATCCAGCCACGATTTTACCTGGAAAACCAAATTCCAGGCTAAATTAATTCAGATCCAGATCTAAACTTCTCCTCATTGTCCCATCTCAGTTAAAGGTCTGAGTGAGATGAATGAATTGTTAGGGCTATTTTTGCAGTATCTTGTTATGAATGAAGCAAGCATGCAATATTCCAGAATCAATGTCTCTTGCATTTTTCCTCTAGTTACATAACTGTGACCTTCCTGATTGAAGTAATGTCCTCTGCAAATGCAAGAGTTGTTTGGGACAGGAGTAATGACAGCAACAAAGAGGTGAATCTGTTTGTTTGTTTTAGTTTTTAAGTATTTTCCCTGAGGTTAAATTAGTGCCTCTCTCCATTTGTGATGAGCCATGGTGCTCAAGCGAGTAACCCTGGGGGCAGGGCCTTTTAAGGAAGGGTCTTTGACTCTGCACCTTTGCTTCTCTGCCTCTATCAGTTTCCAGATTTGTTGACCTTCGGACTCTACTGCAAATACGATTTTTAAAATTTCAGTCAAAAATTATCATTGAAACTTTCTCAATGTCTTTGATCAGCTGTATCCAGGACAGATTCCCAAAGGTAGTGGTTACTTCCCTGGAACTCAGTTCAAGAGATCTGGGCTCTTCTCCAGACTGTGTGACCTCGGGCAAGTCACCTCCTCTCTCTGACCTCAATTCCCCACCTGTACAGTGTGGGTGATAACACTTCTTTTCTCCCATCCTTTGTTTGTCTTGTCTATTTAGATCATAAACTCTTGGGGGCAGGAACTGTTACTTGCTATGTTTGTACAGTGCCTGCCTTAGGTGCTGCTGTAATGCAAACAATAAATAACCACATTCACAGTGTATCCCGAAAGTCAACAAATCTGCTGCATGGGTATGTATGTACTGATATGATCTACATGCACACTTATAAAATGTGTCTGTAATATGTAGACTGAATTACTTTGTAATCTTGCCTTTTGCAGCTGGCTAGTTGCTGTAGGTGGGATTTGAATAAGGAGAGCACGGTGACCTTGTAGACAAGTTCAGGCAGAGTGCCTTATGCACAAAGACAGCACAGGGAGGTGTTTGCTGGAGTAGAGAACAAACAGCATGTCAAAGCCGGCAGAGTTATTTTAATTAAAATTTCTCTGTCCCCAAAGCTTTTAGTCTAACTCTTTTTTTCTCTAACCATAGGTACAGGGCCTGTGACTTCTGCTTGTATTAATGTAACATGAAAGTCTCCAGTCACTGCATGTGGACTTTGTGAATAACAGAATAGAGCAAAGTGGTTTTTTTATTCCTATGCAATGCTTGGAGCGAGTTCGTCTGGATGATTTGTGCTTATCTAAAATAGTTACTGCTTCAGTAGCCTCATCTTGGCTTGTATGGAGTGTTTCATGTAGTTCAAAAGATATTGTATCCAGTAACATCCCCATTCATCATTTCATTAAACTACAAAAAAGCCCATTAACCTAATGTTAAAAGTCTTGCTTAGAGCCAAAAAAGCAAGAGCTCTGAGTTAATGGCAAAACTTGGGGCTGATGAGCTCTTCCTTAACTTAACGATGTATGTGGCTATTGTAGCAAGCCACTGCATCCTACCTAGCCTTCTCCCCCTGCTTCCCCAGCAAGAAAACAAACAGAAGGCGTAAAGGTTTCATGAAAGTGTAGGAGATGCATCATTCAGCACGTGTGCCTTGTGCGTTGACTATATAATGGCTTATTGTACAGATCTGTTCTATGCTGTTCTGTAATATATGTACTGTTCATATGGAGCCTGATCCAAAACCCACTGAAGTCAATGGGAGTCTCTCTGTTGACTTTAATGAGTGTAGGTCTGGTTTTAGGGCATGAGCCATAGCCCATTGAAACCATTGACAAGACACACATTGACTACACTGAGCTTTGGATTTAAGCCCTTGATTTCTTAGATATATGTACACAAATATCAATATTTTGAAATTAAATTCTTGACTAAAATAGCAAACTACAGACCAAACTCTCTTAAAAAAAATCATGCAAAGTTCCAGCACGTTCATAGGCTAGTTTGACCCATACACTTGTCTTACATACTTTTTTCCATGTTTTTTTTTTACAAATTAAATCTACACATAATGATTGAATGTTGTACTGTTTCACTTTACAAGCAGTGCGAAGCTTGAATCACACGCAGATGACACTATGCAACAGTGGATGTATAATTCTGAATACTTAAGATTATAGCTGTATTGAATATTGCAATCACCTGTAGTGCCATACTCGACACACAAGAATCAGCTCTTCTGTGGAATGTGGACATCAGTGTAGCTATATTGATATACACTGGCTGAGGACTTGGCCTTAATTTTTACTATATTTACGGCTCTGCAAAGCTCCACTGACTTTCCCCTTTGCATTTTTAGAATGAAATGATGTTGAAAGAAAATATTCCCATATCTGCAAAGAGAGGAGAAGAGTCCACCCAGTCAAAGACTCTTCGTTCAGTAAGTTTCCCTTCAGTAAGAATTTTTCTTTTCTTTTGCTTGAAAGGGTAAGGGCAGGGCATCCCTTATCCTTCATTATAGCTCCGCGGATCCTCTCTGTTATCAAACATCTCACCAGAGCTACCATCCTTTTAGCTGAGAGCACTGAGCGGTTCAGAGCCGATTGAGCCTAGTTCCCAGCTGGTAAGTAGATGGTTCTATTGCACCATAGCATACAGGAGGAAGAACTGGTGCCATGTCTCCAACTTCTGATGGATGTGGTGAGCCCACACAATTTTCCTTGTATCTGTTTTGTCTTTGAATTTGGATTCTGCTATAGAAGTCTGAACCTAAACAGTGTGACCTCTTACACAACCTTTGAACCAGGGATGGCTGTTTTTGTTCCTATGCAAATGAGACCTTTAAAAAATGTCAAGATACCTCCAGAATAGTCAATAGCTAAATGGTTTGGGCACCTCACAGACTCCTGCTGTACCTGATCTGGTCTCTGACATCCTAGATGAGTGCTCTAACCACTGGGCTATTTGCTATTCTAGGGTGAGTCTCTCTGTCTCGGAGGCCAGAAATTCCATCCTGGACGTGAAGAAAGCTTCGATGAAACAATACGTTTTTGCAAAAAAAAAAAAAAATTTTTTTTTTTTTTTTTTTTTGTTGGACCAAAAAAGTTTTGTTGACAATTTTGGACCAGCTCTACTTTGAACCAAATATAACCCGAAGTATAGAGAAGAATCTAGCTAGTACTGCTGTATTATCGTCTTGAAGTCATATAGAGTCTCAACCTGCTCTGAAGTCAGTGGAAAGACTCCTAGTGATTTCAATAGACATTGAACCATGCCTTTTAGTCTTACCCACTAATCACATGAATTTAGCTTTTGAGAGCCAACTGGTAAATCTGAATATTAGGAATTGACTCAAATCCATCAGTTATACAGGACGTAATAAAATGCTTCTCATTTCAGATACATTTTCCTATAGGGCTGGTGAGCCTGTGGAATTATCAATTCTACAGGGAGAATGAATAATTTTATTTTTTATTCCAAGGGTATGTATTATTATATGACTATATTATGGTGTACAACACACATATTGTACAAATATATATACACAATAAATATATATTACTGTTATAGAAACTGTATATAATAACCTGAAGGTAAAAAAATCTGGTGTGTGTGTGTGTATACATACATATATAGGATGTATATTATTATGTGATTATATCATGACTTAAGAGGAAGCTATTTGGCTAGTAACAAGAGAAATTAAAAAGTGAGTGATTCACTATAGAGGCCTTCTGAATACGGAATGTAAAGTACATAGAGGTCCCTTAAGTGATGTAGGAGCCCCATTAAGCAACCTCCTCTGTGCTAACAATATGAATCTGATTTAATTGGACTAGTCTACTGCCTCCAGCCTCAATGAAAACTGACACCAGGACCTGACTAGAGCCTGGAAAGCAGGCTTGTTTGTAGAGTCAATGAACAGCTGCTGCAGCTGGGAAGAGAAAGTGCTGAATCAGCAAGTTTTTGACATTGAAAGCATCATGTTAGTCATACTGAGATTAGCCGTGAAAAGGACCCTTTTGTGCTATAAATGTCTTTAAATTCTGTTGGAGGCAATGTTTGGGCCCTGCCAAGCCTATGGTGCCTTAGGATCCTCGGAGGTGAGACCTCCGAAGATTTCTCTTCACACACACTCCCCTCAGTTACGTTTGGGACATATCCCCAAAGAATCACCTTGCTAAGGAACACTTCCCAGAATCCCTAGGCCTGCTGTATGCAGAGTAGTGCGATAAAACACTGTTATGCCTGGGGAGGGTTTTTTCAGGCCCAGTCTGTTTTGCAGTCCCAGTCAAAAATGCTAATGCCAGCTCTGAACTCTGCACCCACAGCAGTGTCCAGTTCCAAAGGTGATGCCCAGTTGAGGATCATGTGCTCATGTTTAGTGTACATGTAACAACCCCTCTCCCATCCCACATGGGTTGCCATCAGGATTTGAATTGAGAATCTTCAACACCACAACAACAAACTTCTACCACTTGAGCTAAAAGAGTATCTCCCTGGTCTTTTATAAATAGTAAGTTGTTGTCCTCTAGTGGAATGCAATACCCGCTTTGCCAGTGTGTTACATAGAGTGCACATGACCAGAAAATGGTTCTGTCCCTTTTATATTCTCTTGAAGGAATCCTCATCAAAGTACATTTGCTGCTGCTATTGCCTGCCAGATGATCCAAAGCCAAGTGTGTTTGATATAAATGAGCTGCTCTCTCTGACTGACCTGACCAAGATGTACTTCAGTACGGGTAGGTTTCCTGGATGTATTTTGCTTTCCTATTTTGCTTTGGAACTGATTCTCTGGGAAACTTTCAGAGTTATTCTCTCTATGTCCACCTTCACCGGCTGGAGCTGGATGAGATTGTGGCAGCTTAGTCTGTTACCAGTGCGTTCAGCAGAGCACTTTACAAATGTAACCAGAATTGGGAATTGTGGGTACAAGTAATTGCATTTCTTGAAAGTTTTTGTCAGTGAAACACCATACAAAGCGCTTTCTGGACCCAAACCAAGCCAGTTTCTGAAGCTGAATTCTTTCCAAAATCCTCTAAACTTACTCTGCTGCGATGTCCTAGAAGTTCCAAACTTTCTTGTTGGATATGTTTCCATTGGTTCCCTCGCTTCACAGGTCTTTCATCAAGGTCTTGTTACATTCCTAGGTGGTGTCTCATGAGCATATGCTCTGAGGCGAGCTGATTGAAAAATGGAATTTCCATCCTGCAGGAAAGTCTGTTGTTTTGCCATTTTGAAGTGGTACATCCAGATTGGGAGAAAATAGCAAAACTTTTTGAGGATGAAGGATTCTGAAAATATTTAATTTGCAAATGTCAGTGTTTTATTTTGGATCAACATCAATCTCTATGTCTGAGCTGCCATGGTGCCTTGTGGGATTTGTAGTTTTAGGTCCTTTATGCCCTCCTTCACCCATATGGGCCTTGCTCCATGACTGCAGTATATCTCCCATGATGCACTGTGGTCTCTCCCTGTGACTAAATCTCCATGGGACTCCCATGATGCACTTCCTTTTGTAGCACTCTTAGCTTCTTCTGTGTGATACTCTCATACTCAAAGAGAGAGGCAATCTAGCATTTCACTGCTGCCCTCCTCACATAATCCATCCCATCATAAGTCTTGATAGTTCTAGCATCGGTAACTTTTCTCCAGTTGATGTGGAAACTCCAGGCGACTTGGATCAGGCTTCAGTTCCCCGAGAGCTGGCTCCCATAGCGAGCTGCTTGTGAAGGAGGTATATAGAAAGAAACGGACAGAAAACCTGGCAGTTGATAACAGAGCAGCTGTATTTGCTATTTTCAAATGACAAAACAGAAAGCAAGGTAACTTTAAAATGATGCACAGGGTGAAACAACTTAAAAGCAGGGATGCAGTGTATAGCAACATTGCTGTTCACACAATGCTGAAAGATGAGGTACTATTTTTGTACACACTTAAGCTGATTTTATTAATCTTGACTTGAAAATCAGAGGACATCTGAGCCATATATTACACAAAGGAGACATATTTTGAATTGACTCCAATGGGCTCTCTGCTTGGTGACTTTTCAGCTGAAGGTCCTATTTTCAGGGCCGCCCAGAGGATTCAGGGGGCCTGGGGCAAAGCAATTTCGGGGGCCCCTTCCATATAAAAAAGTTGCAATACTATAGAATACTATATTCTTGTGGGGGGCCCCTGCAGGGCCCGGGGCCTGGGGCAAATTGAGAATGGCTGTGTCACAGGCCTGCTGTGCTTGGGGAAGAATTCTGACTGAACAATTTTCTGTTCTCCATGTATATAGCGAACCATGTTCACAAAAGTATCCCGGGCCAGATCCTTAGCTGTTTAAACTGGTAGCTTCATAGACTTCAATGGCATTAAACCAGTTTACATCAGCTAAGGAACTGGCCCCCATATGTAAAATACAGGCACTTATGCAAAGCATAATATCCTGTAGAGATAAGTGTAACTTTGGCAAGTGGGTGAATGTTTTAGTATAGTCAAAGTGAAATCAAACTACTGATTTTTCACAAGAAATTAAAAACAAACACAACTAAAAAGAAATCTGCACAGGCCCAAACTGCACTAACAGGAACCACCTAAGTATCTGAGCCCCTCCAATTCTTTCATGTGTTTATTCTCACAACACCCTTGTAATGTAGGAAGTGAGGTGGGAAACTGAGCCAGAGTGACTTGCCTAATGTCTGTCTCTCTCTCTCTCTCTCTCACACACACACACACACACACACACACACACACACACACACAGAGAGTCTGTGGCAGAGCTGAGGTCTCCAAGTCTAGATTAGCACCCTAGCCACTGGACCATCCTTCCTTGCATGGACTTCCTCTTTCAATAAACCTTATGGGGATGCCCTTGAAATTTTGTTTGCTGCTGTCCTTGGAAGTCCTTGGCAGTGCTCCTTAATGGCACTATGATTGTGGGGCTACAGATCCAGTGGCTGTTCCAGTATCTAAAGTAATCCTCCCCCCAAGAGTCTTTGTGAACGGTCCAAAAAATATGTCATAAATAAAACGCAACCTGGTGGTACTCCTGACAGAATTCTGCACCCCTGCAGGGGTGCAGAATTCAAATGGGCTGCAAATTTCTGTGCCCCCCCTGTGACGGTGCTGCCCATGGGAGCCAGCTGAGGTCACTCAATTAGGGTGAACTGCAAACAAAATGGGGCAGACAAACCCCAAACGCTGGTGGTTATTCCAATACTTAGATTTACCAAGCCAGCACAAAACAGCTTCTATAGTACCTTACTGGTTACTTAGAAGTCCAAACAACGCAGTTCCCTTAAAGTACCCAGCCTCAGGCCTCCGTCCAGACACACCTGTCAAACATATGATGATTACTGAAAATCTTATCTCATCATATAAAAGAAAAGGTTCTTCCAATCCCAAAGAATCAGCCACATACCCAGGTTCAATTACAACTTAGATTTTACCCAAAATACACGCTAATAGCCAATTCTTATTAACTAAGCTAAAATTTATTAAAAAAGAAAGAGTTGGTTAAAAGATCAATATACATACAGACTTGAATTTAATTCTTGAGGTTCAGATACATAGCAGAGGTGAGCTTGTAGTTGCCAAAAGTCCTTTCAGCTATAGTCCATAGGTTTTTTTTCCCCTCTTACTTAATTGGCCTCTCAGAGTTGGTAAGACAACTCCCACCTGTTTATGCTCTCTGTATGTGTGTATATATATCTCCTCAATATTTATCCCACTCTATATGCATCCGAAGAAGTGGGCTGTAGTCCACGAAAGCTTATGCTCTAATAAATTTGTTAGTCTCTAAGGTGCCACAAGTACTCCTGTTCTTTTTGCGGATACAGACTAACACGGCTGCTACTCTGAAACCAGTTCATAGGTTATAGTTCAATGTCCATATTCAGGGTGGCTCCAGTCAATGACTGAGGATCTCAATCCTTGTGGCTTAAGGTTTCCCCCTTTTGAAACCCAAAGCAGATCTGAGATGAAGTAGGATTGTGTCCCAGGGTTCTTATACATTTCCAGCAACCTTTCGGCCTGAGAAAATAATAGGCTTAACTCTCCTTCCAAACATCCTGGCAATTAGCACAGGGTAATTTATTCATAAAACAGTTCAGATACAGGTTACCACAACCTTCAAAGAGACACATAGACAATGAAACTGTTTCACTAAAGTATCATCATAAATGTTAATATTCCTTTTTTGATCTTTGAATTAAAGTTATAGCAATAGACAAGACTTGTTTGCTTACATCACAAGACCTGAGCAAACATCTACCCTTGAGATCTCTAACAATGCAGACTTGCATTTCAAAGCTCTATTTATTTACCTATCTTCCTAGCCAGTCTCTAAAGTTCATGGGTCAGGTCAGTCGGTGAGTTAATTAACTCTTTCTGGCCCTGTCCTCTTTCAATGAGATATTATATCACACTCCTAACATCACACCCCCATGCAGAAAAATGAAAATGAAATCTGCGGGGGAGCATGCATCTCTTCCCCAGCAGTCCAGGCAGTGCGTCTGTTCCAGCATGCCTGGAGCAGCCTCAGAGATGCAAATCGCTGCAGAGGGAGGGGGGCTGGGCAGGCATGCCTCTGAGGGAGATGTTGATCACCGTCAGGGGGTGGCTCACCAGGGGTGGGGAGGGATAGGTCTTTTTATTATACACAAGGAAGGCTCTGTTCCTGAGGCAGAAATGTAGCACCCTGCCTGCTAGTTAATTGATCTCATTTTTTGAGCCTACCTGCGTAGTAACATTGTTAATGTTCTTAATGTTAGTTAACTTTTCCCAGTCTGTCCATTCCCCCAGCAGCATGAAACCTGTAAACGTTTTAAGGCCCCTACATTGCCAAAGTGATGTAGAGCTTTATAAATGACAGTAAGGGAATCAGCTAGGAAGATCTATGTGCTTTCTCACTTTTTTCTTGTGCCAAAGTAGCACAATGGGGTTAGATTACAGCTCAGGATTTATTTTACTTACCCATTAAAAAAAAAGACTTTAAGGGCAAATAAAACATTTACTAAGCAGTCAATAAAATGTCAGGACAATCAGAAGCAAACACTTCCCAAAGTACCCAGCGAGGTCCAGGACAACGATTAGCAACACTGTATGACTTTCATGTGTGAAAGTCTGAGTAATTTAAAATGACATTTTTTTTGGCTGTTTGGTGTTCTGTAATGTAATTTAAATGAAAATCCAGGATTATAACTGCAATGCAGAGTATTAGTTAACTTTCATGTGTTTAGGAAATGCTGAATAGTTACTGTGAATATTTCTTTTCTGTATTGTAGTTTAAATAAATTACCAAAACAATTGAAACTGGTGTGATCATATTGCATTATTTTGACAAATAAAATATGCTGAATTTTTAATTTTTTTTGGCACAGAATTTTTAATTTTTGGCCCAGAATCCCCCCAGGAGTACCTGGTGGGAACAGATGACAAGAAAGGTATTTGTATGAGTTGCATGACTTTGCTTAGAGGCAGGGGTGTAGCCATGGGTGGGTTGTGGCCCACCCACTTAGCATCTAGGCTCCACCCAAATCTGAGCAGGGGTGTAGTGCTGCCAGAGCAGCCCCGAGCATCACTCGGGCACCTGAAATCCAGGACAGAGCTATGCGCCCACCCTTCAGAAAGCTATGCTCTGACAGCTCTGCCTTGCCATTTTTTGAGCTATGGGGCAGAGGGTCCCTCTCTGGGCCGCCCAGCAGGAGCACTGACTGGCATGCAGCAGCCATACACAACGAAGCGGAGAGGAGAGCACTGCAGAGACACATCAGTGCCTCAGCTGTTCTGCCACCCCGCTTTCCTCGGCCCGGCTGTACCATCGGGCCGCTAATGTGCGAGGGTGGGGAAAGGAGGTGATGGGAACCAGCACCCACGCGCGGGACCTGGGCCCTCCCCCACGCAAAATTCAGAGTGGCCATTTGTGCTGGGAAATGAACCCTGTGAGGGGTGGCTGCCGCATCTTTCCCCCCTCCTACCCGCTGCTGAATGGGGAATGGTTGGGCCCCCACTGGCTGCTGCTCTGAGGGGAAGGGGCTAGCAGGCATGCGGGAGTGCTGGGCCGGGTCCTTGCTGGGTTCAATAATGCCCAGCGTCGCGTCTGGCCCCTGTGCGTGCGGAGCGAGGAGGTGGCGCCAGGGCTCCCCCCAGGACAGGTGAGCTGAGAAGGAGCTGCTGGCGATGATTGCCCAAGATGAGGAATGTGCATGCTCAGCTCGGCAGGTGAAGCCCTGTGTCTGGGGGCACCAGGGCTAGGAGGAGAGCGTGGCATCAGGGGAGAATCTGAGCTAGCACAGTCTGTCATTGCCTGTCTACCCGAAAGTCGGGGTTCACCCAAATTTCCACTCCTAGCTATGCCACTGCTTAGAGGTAATGAGGATGCACATCGTCTCCCCCTCCGTTCTCCTGCCTTAGAGTGGAGTGATCCTCTAAATCATGGAAACAAAGGGTCAGATCCTTAGCGGGTGGAAAATGGCCAATCTCCTTTGAAGTCAAGCTCAGCCTCGAGATTCTTATCTCCTCCCTCTGCATACTAACAATCTCCCTTTCTCCATCTCTCCTTCCACGTGCGCCCATGACCAGATTCTCAGCTGATGTGAATCCAACCCTTCAATTTGAGCAGAGGATCAGTCCCATACTGTTTTATTTATACTGCTGCCTGTACACCTGCAAACAGAGGAAACCCATATAGTTCTAATCTATAGATCTAGCTGTGTATTTTGCTTCTGACCGTCTCATCTAGGTCTGTGTGTGTGTTAGCATAATATACCATGCCATCAGTTTCCACCCAGCCGTTTTGAGTAGCAATGTGAAGTAAGAAATAACAACGAAGTCTGAATCAATTTCATGTTTCTTTTGTTTTTCTTGGCAGTTGGAGACCTCCTGAGTCGAATTACATTGATGCTAGGCATATATGGATCTTTGGCCATGTTCCTGACCATGGTACCTTTTAGCCTCATGGAACTATTCTGGTCAGTAAGAATTCATAAAAATTAGCAAAGACGGTGGTTTTGTTTTTTTTTTTTAACTAGCATCCATGTTAAATTTAGTTTCCGTTCAGAAGCCAGTAAAAACCAAGAGCTGACTTGAGACCACCTGTCACCCTACTGGTGTCAAGTCTGCATTGGGCAAAGACTGTGTGGGGTAAAGGGGCAGGCAAGGAAGTGGATGTTTAAAGAGCTACCAGTGTAAATAGGTAACTGTAAAAAGGTTCCTTTAAGGAGCCATATTGGATAGAAATGTATTTCCCCTAGCTCTTTGAGGGTGACACACCTATGAGGGTCTTCACGTGTCTGAGCTGGTAGTGTGCTTAGCTACTGGGGTTCAGAATTGCCATGATAGCTGACCGCAGGAACAATGGTTAGTGCACTCCCTGCTGCAGAAGTTGAGGATGACCCCGCCCATGACCCCACTTTAATCAAAATGTAAAGCCCATCCTTTACACTAGCCTTGTCGTGATGATAAAGAACAAATCGAAGCAACTGCTCACTCTGGGCCTGGGGAGAGATGCACAGATTGCTTGTTGGCTTTAGGGAATTTTGGTAAGACACCCTGAGATTGGGCTGATGAGCATGATCTAAACACCTAGGGCTATATTGTACCATATATTTTTAAGAACTCCCAATTGATTTTAATGAGGAGCTCTGCTTAAAAACTGAGGTGATGAGACACCCCCTAGATAAGGTAGATAGAAATAGAATCTAACCCTTAATTACTTATAACTTTGAGCACCCCATGTGCTTGTTAGACTTGGCAAAGACAGTGTTTAATTCTCCTCACTCCTTCATCATGTTGCAGAGGGTGGTGTGGCACTTAATTTAGATTCACACCAATTCTGCAATCATGAGAGCTAAAAACTTTTTTTTTTTTAAATTAAATGAAAGCTGAGGTTCTCACATAATAACATGACTCCTGGAGGTTGGGATTTGTGAAAACCCTAAATATTGTGTTACATGTAATAAAATTGAGAGAGTTGTTGCTCATCTCCATAGCATCTGAATGTCTCGTAAGTAGGGTCCTACCAAAATCACGGTGGCGAAAAATGCAGCATGAGCCATGAAATCTGGTCTCCCCCATGAAATCTGGTCTTTTGTGTACTTTTACCTTATTCCATAGGGTGAAAATATACAAAAGTACACAGCATTTCTCAAACTGGGTGTCCTGACCCAAAAGAGGATTGCAAATCTATTGTAGGGGGTTCATGGTATTGTCACCCTTACTTCTGTGCTGCCT